ATTCAACGAAACGCATGTCATTTCTGGGATGTTCCTTGGCACTTTAGCCTTCAATATGATAAGTTTATGGAGCTACTTTGCCAGTCGTTTAAATATGGTTGCAATCATTTACTTCTTTTTCACAGAAAGTAACCCCAGTCTCCATACTCGGTGTTGTCGAATAAACCAAACCGACTACTTTTTTGGAAATTGATTGCCGAAATGCAGCGAGAGGCTATGTTTCTGTAAATGTATTGACCATAGTTGTATGTTCAGTTACAACCAGTAAACCTCCATTTTGCTGCTCTTTACTCATTGCGACATATTCGAGGGAAATTCCAGTCATTGATCAGTGCAGCACACAGATGATTCTCTCTCTTCTGAGTGGCCTACTGTTACTGACAACGATGTTGCGTTGACCGACTAACGGCTGACCTGAAACAGATTACTGGAACGCACTTGAACTGCATAAGTTGAAATAAAAACAATTTAGCGGCCCAACTAATTTTTGATGGCGCTTTGCACTTCCATATGACGAATTATGCTAGTCGAGCCTTATCCCGTTCTCTCTCTCTCTCTCTCTATATATATATATATATACAGAAGGATCCGCTTTGAGACTGGGAGACTGGTGTTCATCTGAACCGAAACAGTTGAATTAACTGTTGCACATTTCAGATGCTAATGGACCCAGTTAACAGATACAAAAATAAATGAAGCCTGTACGCTTGTCCGCTTGGTCTCACCAAAAGATATGTGGAGCTTGGCATGAATGTGGAATACCCAGGGCCGGATCCATTAAGCGTGGGTTTCTATCGGATTCCATTGACTTTCAAAATTCTCCATCCTATTGGGTCAAAGCATCCTCATGATATCTCCTCAAATCGTGTCAACTGACAATCTTACTGGCCATTCTGGAAAAATTCCCCATCCGCTCAGGTGATATACGGACGAGATGAGGGTGCCGAACAAAATGAATGCATCTTTTTCCAGTTACCGGTAAACCCCTCGTTGTGAGCCCATTCCCTAAGTGTTTTGAAAGTATTGTCCAAATGCCGTTTCGCCAACCCTACAGAAAATCACTAAAAAGTTTTCATCATGTGAATCATTGCCTGCCTTACTTTACTGATTTCTGATTGACCTAATAGACATATGTTATCCCCTTCCTCGTTCACTTCATTGGTCATTCTGTGAACAAAATCAAACCTACGGTTAAATGTGCAATTCTTGACTTCCTTTTTAACTTCTCATTGTGAACGGACAGTTCCTTTTGAATGAATTACATTGTGCCCAGTGGCTGGTTATCTTCCGTTTCCATTACAGGACGTTTGGATAACTGTCCCATCCCAGTAACACTAACGCTTCTTAATGTGAAGCTATGCGGATGATCTGACTATTCGTCCAGCGTGAGTTTTTATAAATGGTGACGGGTTCCTCATTCTTTTTTCTGCTATTTACCTCTTACACGATCTGCACCACTTTGAGATATAGATATTATTATCTGAGATGTACTCTTTCTGCTCTCAAATCAAGCTAAAACTTGAATACCACAAACAAGGACATTTCTTGTCTCGCTGTTTTTGCTTCTCGCATTCACCATGCCAGACCACGGGAAATGCTTCTCTGACCCCAACTGCTCCAGATGCCCAGGAATGGATTTTTCCTTCAATTTACTTTGAGTTACTCCTACTGAGCTAATCCTTAATTTTGTACAATTAAGGAGGAGATGGTGGCCCACATCGTGCAGTGTCTTTGACATTATCAGCCATCCGTTCGAGTTTGCTCAACGAGCAATAGAGTGAACAGTACGGAGAGAATGATAAAGTGAAATGGCTGGGATGAATAACCGGAAATTTTCTACTAAACGAGGTACTTGGCTCGACTCAGAGCAGTATAAAGTGGTGTAATGCTTTGACGGTATGTACTGTACTAGCGACAGTGGCGGTGCGTAGGATTTATGATTGCTACCAAAAAATGGTACTGAGAGACAAGAATATCTGTAAAATATGAAACCCTGAATAAAAGATAAAACGGCAAAGGTTTGCTGACATAAACGTGGGCCGCTTACACTACTAGTTAGAAAGAAGCCCACAGAAATGCTGAAAGATTTAACCCTCTCGGACATACTTATGCAGAAAAAGGACCTAACCAACCCAACTCAAGACCTCAGTCTCCGAGATATCCTAGAATTCCTGGCGGTCCCTGGAACCAGCATCCTGATGTTATCTGAATATCAAAACGGCACCAAGCCCTGCAGCCGGCAATCGCTTACAATTGGAAAATACAATTCCATATTTGGGTTCGAAATTATGCATTCGTTTTCTAAAAAATGGTTCTCGAAACTTTTTGCCACCAATGCATTGAAAACTGTATACTACTTGATAGGCACTTCATTACGGAACACTCGCAGAAACTGATATAGTTCTGTAAGTTTAGCTTCATAAAAATCCAGAAAAACACTCCTTTTGTCTACTACTCGCATGACTGGGAACTTGGAATGTAAACCAGCAACGCATAATATTTTCTTGTACAAATTCAAATGTATATACTGAGTATTTTTTTTACCGCGTTAGCAGTATGCTTCA